GTGGGATCAATCCCATGGTTCCCAGCAAGAAAGAATCCCTTGGCTATAAGCAAGAAAATGTGGGATTTATCTCTTTGATCTATTAGCTATATTTTGTAAAAACTTATCTGGAATCTACTGAAATCTGTAAAGAAAACAATCTGTAGTCCTTATTAAAATACAAGCTTTGTTATAAGACTAAGATATTAAGACTAAGACTAAGTTATAAGTCTTTGTTACAAGACTAAGAAATCAATGAAACAGTGGAAGAACCTCAATGCAAGAATAAATGAGGAGATCAGGATAAGCAGAATGTGTTCAGCAAAAAAAGAATGCAACTGGGTGGGAAAGGCACACGAGTGCTATGCATCTCAGTCATCACTGAGAGCAACAGGATCTGATCAAGGCAAACAATGATCAAGGTAGTTTTTAATTTGATTTTTATATTAAAAATTTTATTTTTTATATTTTTTATATTGAAACTTCTTCCCTCCTTTTTAGTCTCAATACTGAAATTAAAACAGAAGTCTGATCTCCTTCCTCCTTTTTGCCAAGGATTGGTAGTATCTTGTGGGGAAGGAAAACCAACTGTTTGGTAGGTATAGAGGTCACTGTTAAACACTGCTAACACCAGTAGAAAGCAGACTATGGTATGAGATATCACAATTATTAGCTACTTCACATAAAGGGAAATGTTGGGAGGGTAACAGACCCTTTGTAAAGAGGTCTGAGGTTGCCAGGCTCGGAGGTATCCTGTCCTACCCCTGGGAAGGAATCTTTCATAGGAGAGAAAATAGGAAAAGGCTAAACCATCCTGGGGTGACAGGCTGGGATCGCCAACTCACACAAGGCAAGAAAAAAGGAGGCATTTTACAGAACTGAAGAGATTGAGTCAAAACCAAGGAATAGAAATGCCTTTTCATGCACTGTTTACTTAGACCACAGAATTCATTGCTTCAAGAAGTCATTGAGACTAAATATTAGAACGATTTGAAGGATCAGACCTATATTACTGACAAAACTTATCCAGTTATAGTAAAGGACGGTAAAAGGAAAATGTTGGCAGGGAGATGAAACCTGATGCTTTGGGGTGAAGCTAATCTCTAATTAGGGATTAAAATGAGGCTTTCATGGGATGGGGAGATCATCTCTTAACCAACTATAACTGGGAGAAGTTTCTTATGCTGTATTTGGAAGCATCTGGTTTTGAACAGCAGCTGGAAGAGTATGCAGGATTAAATCAACCGCTGTTCTAAACAATTTGCCAGTTCCTATGTTCCAAAGCTGTTTTCTCCTCTCTGTCACAAGTAGTTTGTAATCTGAAAAGCAACATACAAGTTAAGTAGTAATATTCCTTTTTAACACTTAGAGAGGCAGTACATTACGACTGGGATTTTCCCAAACAACTCCCTTGCGCTTAAATTGGAGTGACTTAGATGTCTGGCCAAGCTGAACGGCCTTGCTCAGGTCTAGAAAGGCAGCCAGTGGTAGAACTGAAAAATGGACTGAATTAATAAGGTCTGTAAAGAGCTGATAAATCCATAGGTAGAAATACATGGCAAGGTGGAAATTTTGCGTGACGCAATAATATTTTATACTTAATCTTGTAATTTTATTGCAAAACCATTTGTTGATCCATCTCTTACAGCTCCTTTGACTGTAAGATAATGTCTGGCTATTATATCTATGGTTGCATTTTGCTCTTCTGTTGTCTTCAGGTGGCAAACTCTTATTCACTGGTCCAGGACCTGTAGAATTGCATGCTCACTACATTCTGATATCTGATGGAGGAGAGCTCCAGGTGGGATCCCCTGAGGACCCTTTCCGTCACAAAGCACACATCTATCTCTATGGAAGCCTCCATTCTCCGCCATTATTTCCATATGGAGTCAAGTTCCTGGCAGTGAGGAATGGGACCCTTTCCATTCATGGTGAGTAATTTTTCCTTGTCTTCAAAAGCAAAGCACAAATGAATAAAAGAAAAAAAAAAACAGAGCAAAAAAGTTTTTGGAGGGAAAAAGCCCAACAACTTTGGTCATGAACTTGGATTTTGAATTACAGTTAAGTATTTGTTGAAATCAGTTTTTTGGGCTAGAGTTTAATATCTTTGCATTCATCATCATACTCCTATTTCTGCAGTATCTTATGCACCAAAGCTCAGTGCTGTATCTCCATGAAAATTCCCACACTGGCAGCTGAGTCATTTTGAAAATCTGAACCCTGAGAAGAAGATAGATGCTATCATAGAATCGTAGAATGGTTTGGATTGAAAGGGACCTCAAAGATCATCTGGTTCCAGCCCCCCTGGGGTTGGGCAGGGACACCCTTCACTACACCAGGTTGCTCAAAGCCTCATCCAACCTGGCCTTCAACACTTCCAGGGATCAAGTAGTTATGAAACTCTGACAGATTTAGGTGCCCAGAAGATGTTTGGATTTGTGCTTCTCTATGCACAAATAAATGAAAGTCTCTGTCCCTTTGAAATTGGACCTCAGATCTCTGTTGTGAATCATGTAGGTTTGCTCTGCTGCTAGAAAGGAGTATCCTTCTCCCTTCATCTCTCTCCATAACAACTGGGAAGTTTCCTCCCCAAAGAGGATATGACACTTGGGGTTTCCAAGAGAAGGTAATCGGCCAGGTAGTTCCTACAGTGACACCAATGCCAAGCACGCTGCAGTTAGTAACCTGTGCCAGCTAAAGTGTGGATGATACTTCTCAAAGCAGCAGCAAAGTGCTCCTGGCAGTGTGTTTTCCCCTTCTCCTCCATCTCTCCGTGCTATGCTGGCATTCCAATGCCATTGGTCTGTCTCTAGCATTAGGAGCACAACTGGCATCTTTCTATTTTCTTGGTGATCCACACAGCAGCACCTGCTCAGCACAACTTGCTGTCATAAATGACAAGTCCAGGGCTATGCAGAATATCTGTGGAAACGCCAAGAATTTCAGTCTTAGGTGCCTGGTCTTCTGCTCTAACCACTGGACTTTTCTCTCAAAGAAAGCCCTGCAGGGCCAGAGCTCTACATTCCTACCAAGTGGAAGAGACAAGAGACGTAGAGGACAGAAAACGGCCTTAGATTTGCAGATGTTCTGGGGTAGAAGAATTTAGATACAGATGTTTTTTTTAGAGGGCTATGAAATACAGATATAAAATGGCCATTTCTTGGTGCAGTAGATTGGATATGAAATTCAGGTCCAAACTCAGCATGAATCAGAGTATTGGTGCAATGAACACATGTCAAGCCCCTAATGAATGGACTGTTTTTAAAGGCAGTATGTGTCTTAGGGGAGGAAAGAAAAAAACAGCCAGCATATTTGAATGCCTCATCTCCCTCCCTTATGTTCTGGTGTGTCAACCTTCATATTGGTAGGCGTTCGTATCCCGCAGCAGGGCTTGAACTTACACCCTCCTGCCCTACTGTCAGAAATGTTGCTATCTGAGCATGGCTGACACGTATGGCTCTGAGTCAAAACCGATGTCAGACACGGAGGGATACAATCTGAGCACAGACAGGGAGCGAGCTGTACCGCTGTGCCGTAATCCTGTCGGTTCCCAGGAGCCGAACAAGGTCAGGCGAGGTCAGTTGTTGGAGGGGAGTCAGTGAACAGATGCTTTTCTGAATGGGGAGACATCAGCAGAGGCTGGGGAAGGTGCTCCTGGCAGTGGCAAGGGAGGTGGGCTGCACTGCTCCCGAAAGCCACGTCAGGTGTCTTGACCACTTCATCGAGACACAGAGAGGCTATTTTATCCAGTGCTTGCAAACGGCTTTAATAATTTCAGTAAACTGGTTTTGCAGAAGGGCAGAGTGTTTCTATGCCATTTCTTAGAGGGACTCTGTGAAGAAGTGCTATTAGATCATCGGGGCTGAATTGACTGTCCTTTACTGGCCATTGAGTTTCACACAGTTATCCCAGCCTTGAGTTCAGTAACTCGCATTAGATTAAAGCATGCCTTCCAGAAAGGCTTGGTCTTTGAGGACATCAAGGGAAACAGAAGACAGCATTTTCTGTAGAAGCTTGTTCCAGGGGATTAATTTGGTTAATCATCCATGTTTTGATTTTTTTTTTTTAACCTAAGTATTAAAATGTCTGATTTAAACTTGCCTGTTAACAGCTTTTGCTGTTTCCCTTTCTGTATCTTCTGCTACTTTAAAGTATCCTTCCATTCTCAGTTTGACCGTTATAGGTCAGAATTTTGTCCTTAAATTCTCAGAGCTTTCAAACAAGAGCCGTGTCTTCTTCATGCTGCTATGTTTTCTAGCAATTCAAGAAAAAAACAGTAGAATCTCCTTGCAGCTGTGCCTCCTGTACTGCTTCTCCTATCCTCTCTGAGCCTGTATCATCACTAGCTTGTTGACTCCATCCTCTCATGGACAACCCACGAAATTATATATAGAGACAAATAGGACAAAAGTACTTGTTTTACAGTGTTACTTTTGTTGGGGTTGTTCTGCCTGGAGAAGAGAAGGCTCTGGGGACACTTTATAGCAGTCTTCCAATATCTAAAGGGGGCCTACAAGGAAGCTGGAGAAGGACTTTTAACAAGGGCATGTAGTGATAGGACAAGGAGTGATGGATTTAAACTGAAAGAGGAGAGATTTCGATTAGATCTAAGAAAGAAATTTTTTACAATGAGAGTGGTGAAGCAGTGGTAGAGTTTGCCTAGAAAAGCTGTGGATGCCCCATCCCTGGAAGTGTTGAAGGCCAGGTTGGATGAGGCTTTGAGCAACCTGGTGTAGTGGAGGGTGTCCCTGCCCATGACAGGGGGGTTGGAACTAAATCATCTTTAATGTGCCTTCCAATCCAAAACATTCTATGATTCTATCTATAACTGAAAATATGATGAAAGGAAGTAAACGCAGGTGTCCATGGCAGTATCGTCAAGGGATTTGTTGCTGATATTTCACACATTTTCCTCAGTGTCATAATTCACAGTAACTCATCATTCCTGAGGAAACCAAGAAGGTGAGATCTGCAACCCTGGATGGAGGAACAAGGAGCAAAAGATGGCTTGAGCCATTAGTGGAAACATCTCTTAGTTCCAATTTCTTATCAATTCTTATTCAAGAATTCTTATCAATTTCATATTCAGGAAATCCAGAGTAGTTATGAAGTCACTTTTAGGCTCTGCGCTACATACAGGGGCTGGAACACCTTGTACATACAGAGGGCTGGAGCACCTCTGCTGTGAAGACAGGCTGAGAGAATTGGGGCTGTTCAGCCTGGAGAAGAGAAGTCTCCGAGGTGATCTTATTGCAGTCTTCCGGTACGTAAAGGGAGCCTACAGGAAAGCCGGAGAGGGACTTTTTGCAAGGGCATGTAGTGATAGTACAAGGGGCAATGGATTTAAACTGAGAGAGGGGAGATTTAGATTGGATATAAGGAAGAAATTCTTCACTCTGAGGGTGGTGAGGCACTGGAACAGGTTGTCCAGAGAAGTTATAGATGCCCCATTCCTGGAAGTGTTCAAGGCCAGGTTGGATGAGGGTTTGGTCAATGTGGTGTAGTGGAGGGTTTCCCTGCCCATGGCAGGGGGGTTGGAACTAGATGATCTTTAAGGTTGCTTCCAACCCAAACCATTCTATGATTTTATGATACAGTCCCAGCGCATGACTGCAATTAAGGTTCATTCAAACCATGTAATCTGCAATTTTAGCATTAAAGCAGTAGAAGCCTGTCAGGAAACAAGACCAAAAGGAGTATGTTCTTTTGCTGGGTTCATATTGCTTACATGAAACAGAAATATGCTGTTCTGTCTCCAATTTAGTACCCGTCTTGGCCTGTGGTATACAACAAAATTGTTGAGCATGACAGCCTCTTTCATATATATATGAAAGAGGCTGACATGCTTAGCAATATACATTTGTGACATACACATATGCATGCATATATATGTTATCTCAGATCAAAATCATTAAATAAGCAGGCTTCCAAATTCTTAGCTGTCTTGGTGAAGACAGGACCAAGCGCATTTTAATTTCTTTCCTCTTTCAGACTGGGAAATCTGGGGGATGCTCTGCAGCCATGGTTGAGTTCAGATTGTTTAGTAAGTGCTGTCAGCTCTTCACTTTGATATGTTAATATGACTAAGGGTTTCCCACAATTCCCTCATGAGTGGCAGTCCTTTGCTCCGGTGGTTGTAGCAGACTGGGAAATTTCACTGTTGCCTTTGGCTTTAGCCAACTCCCCTGCCAGTCAGAGCGTGCCACCCATAAACTGCCTGTCAATCAGACGTCAGTTTTAAAGGAGGTTTCAGTCAGCCAGGGCAACTCGACTTTTTGACAATGTAATTATGGCCCTTGCATCCGCAGTAGGGGCCTGAGCAGCGCTGAGAGAATTTTATTGATTGTTCAGAAGGGAAATTTATCACTGTCTCCAGCTCCATTCGCACTTTATTCCCTGAGAAACTCTCCTGACAAGCTTCGGGAGAGAAGTTTAGCATGGTGGCCTTGGTTGTTCTTGCGCCTTTGTCCTTCCTAGGGAAACTGGACCGGAGACACCAGCGGATGCTGAGCGGAGGGCAGGGACTGGGTGCGGAGGCAACGTAACAGGAGATGCTTCATCGTAGCTTTCTTTGTGACAGCCTGATTTCATGGTCCCAACACTTTTTTTACCATGGATGGAAAAGTTTTAGAGTCCTTTTCTATTCTGTTCCATTTTAGCAATCCTGTGTACGTGACGCCATTATTCTGTTGTGTCGCCTCAAAGCAGACTGTGCCTCTTCCCAAACAAAATCCAGCACTTTTGCCATCTGTTTAGCTGAAACTTTGTCAGTAGCAATGCTGTGATGATACAGGGCATGAACGTAAGAGCCTGTTCTCTGCATTTTGACTCATAACATATACCGTTCCACCTAGATGGAACATGCTACACTTCGTATTTAATACCAAGCTATGTTCACTTTGTCCAGACTGTGAAAGCTATGTGGTAAGAA